GGACCAGCATAGCATATCATACACCTTGTCTCGGGCCCAGACGGTGGTGGTAGAATATACTCATGACAGCAACACTGATATGTTTCAGGTATTGTAACATCTACATTTTTTTTTTTAAGTTAAAAACCTGTTGTAAGTGACTTGTGCTGTGGTCTGATTAAGGATTGTCATATTTGAATGCATTTCATTAAAACACATATTGATTTCTAAACCCCATATGTACAAGTCCATGTAGCATGGTTAAAAGATGGGCTCTGAAATCAGAATTCCTGGTAAACATTACTTAGTTACTCTCTGCCACAGTTTCCTCCTATAAAGTGCAGATAATAGAACTTCCCTCAGGTGACTATTAGGAGGCTTAAATGTGTTGATACCTATGAAGTCCTCAGAACTGTGCCGGGTACCTGGTAAACACTTAACTGGTACTATTAGTAGCTATAACAATTATTAGCTATTATTATCTAAAAAAAGGAGCCAAGAGATATTTTGTACACATTTATGATTTCTTTTTTGCTATTACTTGTCTCCTTCCTCTCTAGGCAACTGAAACTACAGGCAATTTCTAACTGTTCACATCATATATGTGGAGTCAAACTTGCTTCTCAACACATATTTGGTCAAAGCTATTGGCAATAACAGTTTTTATTTCTGTCATTCTTTGTACCAATCCAGTGCTGATGGTTTTATAAATTGATAGATGATAGAAAAGCTAAACCCAAAGACATAAGCAAAATTCATGATATCTTCTCCCTTAATATTGGGTTTTGTAAGGCCTTGGGCTTTTTTGAAACAAATGGGACATAAAGTACCTAATAATGTTGTTCTTATAATTGTAGTTCCAATGACATTTCAGTTTTTCTTTATTTTAAAGAATTAAATGAATATGAAAAGGCCTGGAGATGTCTTTGCTGTAGCCAGTAACAAAGTATTTCTTTAAAGTCACTATCCCCCACATCCTTTTAATGGAATGCTGAATTTTTTAGAACAGTAGAAATATTTTTAGTTCCAAAGGTCTGAGACCATTTTCTTTGGATATCATATTCTTAAAAATAAAGGGACATCCAATGTTACATTTTTTAACCAAAAAATTTCCCCCTAACACTATCCAAACTAAATAAAGACTTTGTACTTCGTGGCAGGATAAAAACACTGAAGAATTTTATCTAAAAGTGTGCTGATATAAGGAATTCTTAAAGCTCAACTATGCAAAGAATGACTTAAGAGTCGTCATCTTTGTAAAGGGTCAATATTTTTTCTTAGTAACGGTATTCTTTAATTTTTATGATACTACTTTATAACAAATACATTAATGAACTGATTTCTAAATGTTTACTTTAAAACTCTGTGACATTTGTCACTTCTGTCATTTCTTCCACTGATTTCCTTTTTTCTTTTCAACATTCATCTTCCAAAATGAAATTAATTTATACTTGCTAGACCTTTGAAGATGTTTAGTTCACTGACACCTCACCCAGCAGAACTTTGTTCTAAGAACCTTGTCTCTCTGAAACATGACCAAGAATGAGGAAGAAAACAAAAAGGACATCTAGGCATATAAGATAAATGCCACAAAGTCCATGCACTTTTCCCTGCTCCCTGGAGAATCCCTTAGGCCATCACTAAGAACCTTTTGAAATACTATTCTTTGAAGTTTGGTTATTTGATTTCTCAACGCATGGCAGAATTAGAGTAACTAGTTAGAGGAGGGGTATGCTGCTAGAGACAAATATGCCCAACAGCAAGAAATGATAGCTGACAACCTGACAGAAAAGACACAAGAATCCTGTAAAGTATACATAAGACCTCAAAGCACGGCTTTGTAAGCCTTTAACATAAGGATCAGCGTTCCTCTACACCTTTATAGCACCTGAAGACATCAGGGCAGCTCAGCTTAATATAAAGGTATTCATAGTATAATGTCCTGGAGTCATCATAAAAGATTTACTTTTATGTTCATTATATTCTGTTAAGGAAACTAGAGTAATACATGGTAGACATATTTCTGTCCAAAGAGGTTAAAATTAAAATCTGCAGCCACCCAGAAATCTCAGCCATCCTAAACTTTTCATTCCCTGAGGTTTCATATATTCTGGATTGTAAGTTCCTACTTAATTTTATGCTCTAAGTGATTACTACATCAGAGGGAATGTGACAGATTGGTTTTCAAGGGTATAGATGCCCCAGAGTTAAGTATGATAAGTTTGAGCATTAGAAATTTCAGAGGCTTAACGATTTCACCTTACTGTTTGTGCCTTTCTTGAGTGGATTTTCCATTGTGTTCCTTTGAATAGGTTTATAGATATTTGTTTTTCCCTTAGATTGGTCGGTCGACTGAAAGTCCCATTGACTTTGTAGTAACTGACACAGTTCCTGGAAGTCAAAGTAATTCTGATACACAGTCAGTGCAAAGCACCATATCAAGATTTGCCTGTAGAATTATATGTGAACGGAATCCCCCATTTACAGCACGGATTTATGCTGCAGGATTTGACTCATCAAAAAACATCTTTCTTGGGGTAAAAAGCTTTTTTTCTAAATGTTGCATTTTATAACCACTTCTATTTCCCAGTTATAAATAAACAGAAGATCACTATTTTTCCTACTAGGAGAAGGCTGCCAAATGGAAGACATCAGATGGACAGATGGATGGCTTGACCACCAATGGTGTTCTTGTTATGCATCCACGCAATGGGTTCACAGAAGACTCCAAGCCTGGAATATGGAGAGAAATATCAGTGTGTGGAAATGTATTCAGCCTGCGTGAAACCAGATCAGCTCAGCAGAGAGGGAAAATGGTAAGTACTGAGATGTAGCTTCTTTTTTAACAACAATAAACTCATAGGGTGAGTTGGACTGAGTGCATTACATATTCCCAAAAACTATTTAATCTTTTACTGACACAGAGTACCAAGTATGGCTATCAAGTGCTGACAACCAAATACTATACCAGGAGGATAATATCTTAATGTTTCAATTAGAACACTCTAAAAATTTATTCTTCTTTTATATTAACATATTTTAAAACCTAAGCTTTCCCAATTTAAACAGCACTCTGTGTATTTTCTACTTGTATCTATATATCTTTGACCAACATATTTACCAAATTGGAAATATTAAACTTACTGATTAGCCAGATGTTTTAATCATAAATTGTCTTTACTATAAAGCTGAAAAGAGATAAGTTACTGCTCAATATTTTATCCTTGATTTTCAAACCCATATTTTTCATGACTACCATTTGAGTTTCTTAAATAAACAACCAGAGGAAATCTTGATTCTTGAGTAAGGAGCACGTAAGACCAAAACTCTTAGGTAAAAATCCAAAACTCAGTGGTCAATGTGTTTTTTTTGATTCTTTTTTCCTCTAGGTGGAAATTGAAACCAATCAGTTACAAGATGGCTCATTAATTGACCTCTGTGGTGCAACATTGCTGTGGCGTACTGCAGAAGGCCTTTCCCACACTCCTACCGTGAAGCATTTAGAAGCTTTAAGACAGGAAATCAATGCAGCACGACCTCAGTGCCCTGTAGGGTTCAACACACTAGCATTTCCTAGTATGAAGAGGAAAGATGTTGTTGATGAAAAGCAACCATGGGTGTATCTGAACTGCGGCCATGTGCATGGCTATCATAACTGGGGAAACAAAGAAGAACGTGATGGAAAAGATCGTGAATGTCCTATGTGTAGGTCTGTTGGTCCCTATGTCCCTCTGTGGCTTGGATGTGAAGCTGGATTTTATGTGGACGCCGGCCCTCCAACCCATGCGTTTAGCCCGTGTGGGCATGTGTGTTCAGAAAAGACAACTGCCTACTGGTCCCAGATCCCGCTTCCTCATGGTACTCATACTTTTCATGCAGCCTGTCCCTTTTGTGCACATCAGTTGGCTGGTGAACAAGGCTACATCAGACTTATTTTCCAAGGACCTCTAGACTAACAGACCATTGTCCTCCAGGACTACATTATACATTTATAAGCTAAGTGATTTGGGTTTTCCAACCTGTTGTCCACATCACAGTTTTTCTGCTCTGGTCATTTGCATTAAGATGAAGAATTTTTTTAAACATTTATAATAAATAGTAGCAATTTCTGAGCAAAAATCTGGGAAACTCAAGCAAAGGAATTTCCAAAAGTACCAGACTTCTGAATTCTGAGTTTTGAAAATATATTTTGAGGAGAAAAAGACATAGTCTAATTTGATGCCTTCATTTTAGTGTTTTGAATCACCCATCCTCAGTGTTGAAAAATTGTTTTGTATAACTGAGGGTACTGTTGGTTCAAACTATGTTAGTTTACAGTTTGTTGCAAACATTGTAAAATACAGCAACATGTATATTAACTTTTTTTCTATTTATCTTTATTATAGAAAATATCTTAGAATGTTCTTGGTAGAGTAGCATGGTAACGATGGTCTCACACTCTTGGTGTGAATGGTAGTTTAGCAAGCATAGCTCAAGGATTTGCAAAGTTAGGAAGAAGGACAAGAGAGCCTCTCTCCCCACCCCCATCTAAATATGAAATTTGGTAAATTAGAATACTTTGTAAAACAAAATTCATATTAATTACCATTAGGTAAGAGGTGTTTGTTTTTAACCACATTGAAGATAATCGGGAAACATTTTTTTTCCTTAATGTTTCTCCCAAGTGTAGTACTATAACAAAAACTTAATGCTAAGAAACATTTCACATGCTCCTTTGAATATGCAATTTAATCTAGATTATCTGTTTTTCTCCCATGATAACTAATCTGTTTTTAGTATCAGCAACATTTGGCAAGTTTATTTTTTAGACATAAACTGTGGTTCATCTGTTCACTGTTTCTAGAAAAAAAATCATTCCCATGAGAAAAAGCATAAATAACAAGAAAGGAGAGTGACTTGATTTGCTTTTAGAAAAAGAAATGCTTAATTAACTATCTTGTATTTGGACTTATTCAGGTAAGAAATTTAGAGAGATATAAAGGGTTGAATGACAACAGTGCTCTTTTTTTTTAATCTAACAGACCAGCCTTAACTGTGGGCTTGAATCCTAAAAGGACAGTTGCCACAGTGTGACTCAAGGAGATGCTTGGTTGGCAAATGAGCACCAGTGACAGCCAAATGGAGGGACATACTTGCATGGTCAGTTTATTCTCTAATTCCAGTAAGTTCTTTGCTTTCAGAAGCAAGAAAACATTTCTTCTCCCCTCCCCTACCCCCCCTTTTTTTTAACACACCACAAGGAAAGTATAGACAGTTGCACTACATCAAACTCTTTGTGACACTTGTAGAAATCAGTACACTTTTAGATTAGACAGAATCATTTTTTTAATCTTTTGTTTTCCTTTAGTTCGAAAAGTTGTATTATACTTAATTGACTAGCAAAATTTTGTATGTGGTAGCACAGCTTTAATTTATCCTATTACAGTGCTGTTCTGAATTTTCTTTTGGTTTTTAAAAAACAAAACCTGTTGCTTAGAAGCCATGAACTATTTTACTTTACTTCAACTTGTCAAAATTTCCTTGTTTTAAAAAATCATTTGGGTTCACTCAGGAAGTGCATGTCAGGAAACTTTGTATTATAAGTTGACTAGTTGTGATGTATCAGTAACTGCTGTTACTCCTTTTTCAAAGAAATATAATTGATTTTGAAGTTTTCTAGATTGTCACATGCTTTGTGACTAATGCAAGGAAATCAAGTCCTGTGTTGTATTTGTTCTAGTTATTTCTATTCAGGCTATATATTGTAGCTGATTTTTATTTGCAATTAATTTATTCAAACTGAGTAAATACTTTTCAAAATAGATATTTGAATTTGCCTTTGTGAGTTCATTTTTGCATAACTGAGAATGGGAAACCAGAAGTGAAAACTTGTGGACAAATCTAGTCCACACTCCAAAAATATTCACTTGAAATAGATGAGGAGTTTGCATTTAATGTAACACTTTAAATCTCTGGTTCTCTTGGGAAAGCATCTCTTACTTATCAATAGAGGAACTTCTTTAGTGGTTGAATAATTGAGGCCTTTCTCTAAGTCAAGCCCTGCTGGAGAGATGGCTTGTAGCAAGTTGCGTACTAGACCGTTTAATAGTGCCTCAGTGATCATAAAAGGTTCATGTTCTTCCCAAGGTGCCTGAATTTCCTCCTACCAAGTAAGAAAAATCTGGTTCACTTTCTATCAAATTTAAGTTTTGAAAACTAAGGTAATTTAAATCTTTAGTCATACTTTTTCTGTTCAAGCATTTTAATTATTAGTTCTGTCATTTTGCCAATGCCTAACAGAATAATTTTACTTATTCAGTTGTATTAAGGGAATGTCAGTATTCTGACCAAAGAGAAAAAGTTGTATTTAGGTCTCCTAAATGCACTCTCAAGAAAGACAATCTTTATGGCTCAATTCTTTTATCAAAGTGATCTTAATATCTAAATGTTCCTTACTTTGTACAGTGAATTAAATTTCCCTTCAACTAAAATGTTAGGGTCATGAAGCAAGACAGGGTAGATATATAGAAAGAGGAGTCTTTCATCACGTTATCTTCTCGAAGCTGTGTTTGCTTACTTTCATGATATAAAAATCTTCTGGTACGTGTGAAACAGGATAGGAATAAATAATCATGTAAATATATAATTACATCTAACATGAGTACTCCCACTCCAGTCTTCCTTCAGAAGAGTGCCCCAAGAACCATGTGTGATGTGTGACCTTCTGACACATAGACTGAGTGAGGGCACCAGTGAAAGTCCATCCATTATTTCTTTAACTTTATAAAAAAAAATATAATTCCAACATGTTGACCCCTCATCCTAAGCGATCATCTTATGCTACCCCACTTTATAGACCACTGGCTGAAAGATCTGTGATCCATTCTTTGGTTTTTGTGTTCTAAGCATTAACCATGTAGCAAATCAGATCACCAAAATACTACATAACTGAACTGTATTACTCTATCTCCCACTCCCACTTTCAGAATTACTCCTATATAAGTATACTCTAAGGCCATGCCCTCAGAATTTTACCCACACATTCTTACAACGGATATTTGAATATCCACTGTGCAGACAAGCCCTGTTCTAACACTGGGTGATGTAGCAGGAAACAAAACAAAACAAAACAAAACCCTGCCTTCATGGGGTTACATTCTAGTGGGGAAGATGGAAATGAACATGAAAATGAAAAGACATATAGTATGATAGATAGTGAGCAGTTCTGAGGGACCGATAAAGCAGAAAAAGGAGATACAGAACATCACGTGTGATGTGTGTGGGTGTGCGGAGTGTTTGCAGTATTAAATAGAGCAACAGAAAGCCCCGCTGGAAAGGTGGTATTTGAGTAAAGATCTGAAGGGAGTGGCTACATAGGAGAAGAGCATTTAGGCAGAGGGAACACCAATTGCAAGGGTCCTGACGCTTGGAACATTTCTGTAACAGCCAAGAGGCCAGTGTGGCCATGTGGTGTGAAGCCAGAGGAGGAGCAGGTTAGGTCAAAGAGGTAAAGAGACAGAAGAAGTGGGGCATGGGGGTGGAACTAGATCTCAGAGAGCCTCCTGAGACTTTTGGCTTTTATTCTGAATGAGTGGGGGGCCATAGGAGGATTTTGAACAGGGGAATGATGTGCTCAGACTTCGATTTTAATAGGATCCAAATAGGCTGAAGTGGAGCAGGGAGACCAGTTAGGAGACTTGCAGTAATCCTGGAGGAAAATGATGGCGACTTAGGTCAAAGCGTGGGGGCAGTGGAGCTGGTTTGAAAAGTAACCAGAATCTGGGTATGCTTTAAAGGCAGAGTTGATATTTGCGGCAGATCAGATATGGGGTGTGAAAGAACGAAGAGGAGTCAAGGATGACTTGGTTATTAGCCTGAATAACTAACTAGAAGGATCGAATTGTCATTTAGTGAAGTAGAGAACAGTTTGTGGAGGAGGGTGTACTGACTCTGGAACTTAGATTGAGACTCCTCTTAGACGAGGTATTTACTGAAAACTGTCTCTGCTTTTTTCTTTTCTTTGACTACTGTCAAAGTTCTTAATTATTATCATCAGTGTTCCCCATGTATCCTATGCTAGCTTAGAAACAAAGTATTCCTCCTGATTAAGGGCCAGCTTCCTTTCATTGAAATAGAGAGTCAGGATACTTCTCATGTTTCTCCCTTTGCTTTGGCTGCCCTCTGAGGAAATGAAGTTCTGTTTTCAACTACAGTAACTTCCTTCAGCCAACTTGTTCTGATACAGTTTTTCTCCCATCTCGCTCATATACACCTTTTTCCTTAGCTCTTGCTTTTAAAAAAATTCTCAGTTTTATTGAAGCTTAATATTTTGTTGCTTCAAATCCTTTCTGGCAGTGGCAGAGCACAGTTGTGTTTGTTTTAATTTTAATATTTAAATGTTAACGGAAAACAAAGAACTCTTGAACCTATTTATAAGTCCAGATTTTAATATCCAGCTTCCCTTAAGGAAATATGCCTGTCTTTGATAATATTGTCAGCAGAAAATGCAGTAAAGAAGATCAAAAGAGTTCTTCTAGTATTCATTGTAAAATATCATGTCCAAACATTCTGTTGCATGATATGATGGGAATACTGGTTTGTTTAGACTGACATTAGATTGTAAACCCAGCTATGTATGCTAAACTACAGCATAAAAATTCCTCACAGCTAACATTTGAGCGTTTGCTATGTGCCAAGCACTGTTTTAAATGCATCATTCTAAGTGTATTACTGATTTCATTTAAAACTCAAAACAACCCTTTGAGAGAGGAACTATTATCTCCATTTTATTTATTTTTTAATTTTTATTGGACTATAGTTGATTTACGATGCTGTGTTAGTTTCTGCTGTACAGCAAAGTGAATCAGTTAAATATATATATGTATATATATATGTGTGTGTGTATATATGTGTGTGTGTATATATATATATATATATATGTATGTATCTCCACTCTTTTTAGCTTCTTTCCCCATATAGGTCATTACAAAGTATTGAGTAGAGTTCCCTGTGCTCTACAGTAGGTACTTATTATCTGTTTTGTATGTAGTAGTGTGTATATGTCAATCCCAATATCCCAGTTTGTCCCTCCCCCACCTTACCCCCTGGTAACCATAAGTTTGTTTTCTATATCTGTATGTCTCCATTTACAATAGAAACCAGACACAGCAGTGTCTAGTAACTTGCCCAAGGTCCACATGGCTCGTCACTAGAGGAGTCAAAATTTGAACCTCGGAAGTCTTGCTCCATACCTGTGTACACAGGTGCTACATTTTACTGTCTGCCCCCCACCCTTAATGGAATTTGAAGTCTTTTTTTAAATCAATTTTAAACAATTTTTCGAAAATGATTTAAGGTGGCTTATAAAAATTATAATTAAGAACGTTAAACATCAATAGTAAAAATTTTGGGAAGAACAAAAGTAAAAGAATTTGGTATTATAACAAAGTAAGATAGAATCAGCATTGGCATGAGTACACAAGTAGATTTAATGAAGGCCTGTAAACTTGCTAAAGGTGAGTCACAAATCGATTTAGTGCCAAGGTGTTTAGTAGGTTATTCAATAGGGGAACATGATCAGTTACAAGATCCAGGCAGCTGCCTGGAAGGTAGCAACACATCCACTGCTACAGAAACTTGTAATCATTTCTGGTCCTGCAAGCAGAGAAATTCACATTCAGGAAGCAGTGCCATTCCTTCATATAAGTAGATTCATGCAGTATTTGTCTTCCTGTGACTCGCTTATTTCATTTAGCATAATGTCCTGAAGGTTCATCCATGTTGTTGTGTATTGCAGAATTTCCTTCTTTTTTAAGGCTGAATAGTATTCCAGACTATATGTGTATGTGTGTGTGTGTTTATTTACTTTATCCATTTATCTGTCAGACATACAGTTTGTTCCACTTCCTGACTCTTGTGAATAGTGCTGCAGTGAACAGGGAGTGCTAATATCTCTTCAAGATTCTGATTTCAATTCTTTTGGTTAAATACCCAGAAATGGGATTGCTGGATCATATGGTAGTTTTGCTGCACCATTTTACGTTCCCACCAACAGTGGGCAGAGGTTCCAGTTTCTCCAACTCCTCGCCAATACTTTGTCATCTTTTGTTTTTTGATAATAGCAACCTGACAGGTGTGAAGTGATATCTGTTTGTGGTTTT